GAAAAATCCCCCCCCCCCCCCCCCGGCTGCAATAATTCCCGGATAACTGTCGTTTCTGGCTGCCATTAAGAATCGCTTTTCATCCCGCCGTTTCTTAGGACCGGCGAAATTTCTGGAACACTTTTTTTCTTTTTTTTTTGATAAGTAAACGATGATCTTCGAGCACGGGTTAACCATTTGATATAACGACATCTTAAATGCTCTTAACGCAATAACGTCCGGATGACTAATAGTAGTCATTTTCTTGACTGCTCGTGAAATGTCGGATGACTAAACATAATAAAAATTTAATAATAAAAAAAACAGCTAATACTTTAATTGTTTTTTGAAAATAGCCAAAACTTAATAAAAAAGACTGAATAGCTAAAACTTTAATTTTTTTTTAAATAAAAGCTACTCTTTTTTTGTCGATTATAATTTTTTAAGAGTTACGAAATGCTTTAAAAATTTAACGAAACGTAATATAAGTGTTATTTCGATGTTTTTTATACGCGTGTATATATTATCTTTACTCTGAATTTTTTTTAAGTTCTAAAAACAATTATCAGAATATATTTCATCAGGATATATTATAGTGTACATATTTTCTTTAAAATAGAAAATTTAATCGTAAAATTTATTTATGTGATTGAATCTAAATCAAATTTATGTTTCGAACGAAGCAACGTATCTTATAATTTAATCGAACTGTCCGATATTTTATAAGCTGTATCCACTTTTGTAAAGTGATGCAGCAATCTTAAAATATGTGCCAATATTACAGCTAATTGACGAAAGCAGCGAAGAAATTCGCAAGAAATTGTTCGGCCATTTATCGAAATGTCTCGGCGTTCAACGTCCGGGACCGAACTTTCCGCAAGCTAACTTATTTTATTTTCCAGCTCCGACGTAAAAACGATGAAAAGTTTCATAACGGAGTCCAGAAATTCTGGCCGCTGCCGCACTTCGTATTCCCATTCACGAAGACGAAGCCCGAAAGAAACTTCGGCCAAATTGGATTCCGTTAATCTTCTATACGACGAAGGCTACGATCGAGTAGATAACGTTAAAGGCGGCGGCTCGCCGGAGAAACGGAGTAAGTTGAAATTCCGCGCGTTCCTGAATCACGGCGACGTCCCGATGAATTATCGCGATAATTTCGCTTCGTTTAGGGTGCAACATGGAGGAGCAGCGCTGTTGCGGGGGTGCCGGTTGCAGGTCGGATCCCAGGAACTCCAAGTCGAACCTGTTCGGATCGTGGAAGGAGAGCTCGCACGACAACATCCATCGGCGCTGCGATCCGCAATGCGCGAAGCACTCGAACGTTGACTTGTCCCGGCCACGTCGAGACTTTTGCTGTTCTCAGAGTCGCGGTCGGTGCTGCCATAATCACAACCGTTGTCATCACTGCGAACGAGAAGATTGCCACAGGTACGTGGCGATCACGTTGCTTCAACTGGTTGTTCTGTCTGCCCGCGCAGAGTTTCACGCTAGAACTGCCGATTATGCGCGAAATTCCCCGCGAATTCCCAGTTGCCCGAAATTCGAAGTCGAAGTTTCACGCGAGACCATGTTTGTCGTATTAAAAATTGCCAAGGATTACTTTAACACGTTCAGCGTCGCGTCGACCAAATATGGGCGACACTAATTTCCGACCAATTTTGAAAGTTCATTTTCATCGTAATATATTCGAACAAACTGAATTAGACTAGGATGTTTCGGACGCGAATGAGCTCTAATATCATCCGCTATGATTAATATTAACTTTCTAATTTCGGTTTAATTGATTAAATTCCTTTGACTTCGTGGGAATTTTAGCGGTTGATTGCGGCCGCTGAACGTGTTAAAGTGCTGTAACTTTGCGAAGAAAAATCTCAGCCACGTTCCTTTTTTTTCAAATTAAGGGGAAAAGATCAAACTTCGTTCGACTGAAAACGGCACGACCGAAAAAAATTTGCCAAAGTCCGTGCATTTTATCGAACTTGGCAATTTTTTTATATGGCGGACTTGGCAGATTTAAATATGACAAACATGGCCTCGCATTTAAACGATTACAGTAAATCCAGAGATTACTTAAAATCCAGAGATTTTCTATCTTAAAGTAGAGGTTTCAAGCATTAATTTAAGAAAAGAGTCACGATCCTACGATGATTTTTCGATGAGTTATCGTCGGTCAAAGTTAGCCAATTTTCATCCTCCGGTTTCACGAAATCCAGCCTACCGAGAAACGATCATTTCTAGTTGCTCGGTGAAAGAAAAGCCTCGTCTCTTCTCGGACACCTGTCTCTGCTCGTCGAGCTGCGCCGGCCATGGAAAATGCTGCAACAGAAGCCAGGCTGCCGCGAACGAGTCGATCCGACGTCGCGATCTTCGTCCGAAGGAGAAGATATCGACGGTGCAGGAGCAGAACGACGAGGAATACGAGGATTGCGTGGCAAAGATCGACCACAAGGACTCGTTGTGCATCCTGGTGGAGAAGTACAAGGCCAGCAGGAAGTGCAAACACAGAAAGTACGGGGGCGAGAACGATTTGCCGGACGATCGGGTTAAGGACGACTGCAACAAATCGTTCACCTCCGAGGCTAGCCAAATGGATGAGAACGCGAGCCTGAGAAACAGGGAGAGATGCTGGGCCAGCGACGGGCATCGGTTCCAGGAGAATTTCAGACCGTCCGGGAAACCGTGCAGAACCGGCTGCGTGCAGATTTTCCGGGAGGGGGACTCCGGCCAGATCAAAAATCTGAAGTCGCGTTTAGTCAAAACCGGAACGTGCTGCTCGGCCAAGGGCACGCCGTGGAGACACACATTTTAGGTCTGACTAAATTCGAAGTCGCCTTGCTTGTCGTATTCCTAGGACAGTTTCTCGTCTACGTCGTATTTTTCTATACAAAAATCAACTGCGACAGTTCGTGTTCGGTTTAATGAACGTCGACGAACACGGATTCGTTCGATCAAATGTTTTCGTATCTCCGAGGAAAATACAAGTTGTCTTACGCGAACGCTGTTCGAGTTCGCTTTTCTAGTTCGAACTATTCGCGCGTATACACGTAATTTCTTGAGTATGCTTTCGTTTTTATAGCATTGTGCACGATAGAGATCGTTGTTGTTTAATAAATTGTTCACTTGTTACCACGGTCCATGGTTCAGATTTAGCCGATCCAGCTCTCATTTTCCGTTTCCGTGCTTCTCGAGAAAAAGAGAAAGAAACAAGGATTTGCTTCTGCCGCGAAGGATCCCGGACCCCGGCGTTTCGGGCAGCGCATTTTTAAAAGTATATTACCCTAATAAAGTTAATCAAGCTATTTTGGTAATATATCGCTTTAATAAAGTTAATAACCGAGGACATTTATATATCATTCCACCGCATCGTCCGCGGTACCGGTCTCTTGGGCAACATTTGGCTCCTCTTCCGCTTCCTCGTGCTTCTGCTCCTCGGCTTCCGCGCTCTCTTTTTCCTTTTCTTTCTCCTCCGCCCCTGCAACAGAGTTCGTTATTAATTGATTTGCGCATTGCGCGTAAAATAAATTCCGCCCGTAGTCTCTGCACAAAGCAATTTCGGAAGAGAAATGCTTTTACATTTATTTTGGAAAGTTCAAAGCGCGCGCGGCACGTGCCTATGAAATTCCGAATGCTATTTTTTCCATTAATCCGACCTTCCGCGAACCGTTAAATCAATCTATCGTATCGTTTCGCGACGTCAAAGCGAACGGTTCTCCGACGAATTAATACGGAGTAGCTATTAAACAATGGCAAATAGAATCCCCTCGACAACTTAACCTTTCAGGTACAGCTGAATTCTGCGCGAAGCTATATTTCTCTGGTCGGCAGAGTCTGATATGTACTGTACAGAGTCTGATACTGTATATTCTGTCTATATATACAGGCTGTCCCAAAAATGTCTCGCAATCCGAAACTGGCGGATTCCTCAGGCCATTTGAAGCAACTTTTTCCAGATGTGTATAAGAGACAGCTATAGTGGCGCGTCGTTCTAAAAGATGATATCCACGGAAGCCACTATAGTGGCGCGTCGTTCTAAAAGATGATATCCACGGAAGCCACTATAGTGGCGCGTCGTTCTAAAAGATGATATCCACGGAAGCCACTATAGTGGCGCGTCGTTCTAAAAGATGATATCCACGGAAGCCACTATAGTGGCGCGTCGTTCTAAAAGATGATATCCACGGAAGCCACTATAGTGGCGCGTCGTTCTAAAAGATGATATCCACGGAAGCCACTATAGTGGCGCGTCGTTCTAAAAGATGATATCCACGGAAGCCACTATAGTGGCGCGTCGTTCTAAAAGATGATATCCACGGAAGCCACTATAGTGGCGCGTCGTTCTAAAAGATGATATCCACGGAAGCCACTATAGTGGCGCGTCGTTCTAAAAGATGATATCCACGGAAGCCACTATAGTGGCGCGTCGTTCTAAAAGATGATATCCACGGAAGCCACTATAGTGGCGCGTCGTTCTAAAAGATGATATCCACGGAAGCCACTATAGTGGCGCGTCGTTCTAAAAGATGATATCCACGGAAGCCACTATAGTGGCGCGTCGTTCTAAAAGATGATATCCACGGAAGCCACTATAGTGGCGCGTCGTTCTAAAAGATGATATCCACGGAAGCCACTATAGTGGCGCGTCGTTCTAAAAGATGATATCCACGGAAGCCACTATAGTGGCGCGTCGTTCTAAAAGATGATATCCACGGAAGCCACTATAGTGGCGCGTCGTTCTAAAAGATGATATCCACGGAAGCCACTATAGTGGCGCGTCGTTCTAAAAGATGATATCCACGGAAGCCACTATAGTGGCGCGTCGTTCTAAAAGATGATATCCACGGAAGCCACTATAGTGGCGCGTCGTTCTAAAAGATGATATCCACGGAAGCCACTATAGTGGCGCGTCGTTCTAAAAGATGATATCCACGGAAGCCACTATAGTGGCGCGTCGTTCTAAAAGATGATATCCACGGAAGCCACTATAGTGGCGCGTCGTTCTAAAAGATGATATCCACGGAAGCCACTATAGTGGCGCGTCGTTCTAAAAGATGATATCCACGGAAGCCACTATAGTGGCGCGTCGTTCTAAAAGATGATATCCACGGAAGCCACTATAGTGGCGCGTCGTTCTAAAAGATGATATCCACGGAAGCCACTATAGTGGCGCGTCGTTCTAAAAGATGATATCCACGGAAGCCACTATAGTGGCGCGTCGTTCTAAAAGATGATATCCACGGAAGCCACTATAGTGGCGCGTCGTTCTAAAAGATGATATCCACGGAAGCCACTATAGTGGCGCGTCGTTCTAAAAGATGATATCCACGGAAGCCACTATAGTGGCGCGTCGTTCTAAAAGATGATATCCACGGAAGCCACTATAGTGGCGCGTCGTTCTAAAAGATGATATCCACGGAAGCCACTATAGTGGCGCGTCGTTCTAAAAGATGATATCCACGGAAGCCACTATAGTGGCGCGTCGTTCTAAAAGATGATATCCACGGAAGCCACTATAGTGGCGCGTCGTCCAGAGAGATGACATCCGCGAAAGCCACTATAGTGGCGCGTCGTTCTAAAAGATTATATCCGCGGAAGTCACTGTAGTGGCGCGTCGTGCCTAAAAGGTGAAATTAGAAAATGTTCCGGAAGACGTTGATACGAAGGAACGATTTACGGTTCGATGATCATCTTCTTTGTTGTACCCATATCTTCCTCTTCGGTATCTAATTCCGTCGGATACTCCGTTTCAGCCTCCGATTGTGGTTCAACGATCGCGGGCAATTGCTCCGTTGTCATTTCGACTTCCGACGTTTGCCGCGCATCCATTTCCGCTTCCGTCAACTGTTCTTCCGTGTATTCTGCGTCGGTCTTCGCTTCCGATTCCGCTGGACGGTATTCAGAATCGGGGCTGGCTAGCGCGGACGCAGTTTCCTCTGTTTCTGCGGGGAAACGATGTTCGATGATTCCATGTATCGCTTCTCTGTATCGCTTTCGGACGACTTTTAATGCTTAAAACGTGTACTGGAAATTAAAGATACCTAGGTCGGTCTCCTCTTCTTTTTCTGGTATTCCTTCCTTATCATCCTCAATCTCTTCTCCCTCTTCTGCTGCTGCTTCTTCTTCCTCTTCTTCTTCTAATTGAAATTGCTACCATCAGAATCGCGAACACGTGAAACACAGTCAATTCTCCCTAATCGACGCTTAGATTGTATATAAAAATGGACAATTTGGGAAAAGAAGGTACGATTATATATTTGTTGTTGACAATCGGTAACTATATAAAAACGAACCGCAAGGCTCGAATAATCTCCTCGTTCGAAATTGTCCATTTTTGTGTACAATCTGAGCGTCAATTGCGGAGAATTTACTGTAATACCTTTCTAATGGAAACGGCTTCACAGCTGCACAGGTGATTGAACACTCACTCAGATCTGAATTGTACTGTGACAATATACGAGTCCATATACAGGGTGTCCCAAAAATGTCTCGCAATCCGGAAATGGCGGGTTCCTCAGATCATTTGAAGCAGTTTCTTCCTTTGCAAAAATTTTTTCCGAGACACTGTTAACGAGTTATTAACGAAAAACAGGTGACCAATAAGAATCGATTACGGCTGCCGCGAGACGGCCCAGCCAACCAGCGCGCGAAGCCCAGTTCCGCTCATTGGCTCGGTCGCCTCGCGCCAGCTGAGCTGGGATTCGACCGCTCGACCGCTGGCGCCGTTGGCTCGGCCACCTCGCGTCAGCCGTACTCGATTCTTATTGGTCACTGTTTTTCGTTAATAACTCGTTAACGGTGCCTCGAAGAAAATTTTTGTAAAGGAAAAAGTTGCTTCAAATGACCCGAGGAATCCGCCACTTTCGGATTGCGAGACATTTTTGGGACACCCTGTATACTGCTGTGATTTTTACGAGAAATTAATAAACGGTTTAACGAACAATTTTCCCAGGCCAGACGTCTCTGAAGTGCGTTGTGTCCAATCACGTGCAGTTATGCGTCGCAATTCGAACGACAACGTTAGAATAGTATTCGAGCGTTCACCATCCATCGACAGACGAGACATCCTTAAGCGTTCTTTGATAGCCATCTGAACCTTCGTGCTGGTGATCGTTAACTCCTCTTTAGTACCGTATTCCATGGGGATATCGTCGCGAGACATCACTTTTTGGAACACTCTCTGATGCAGAGAATCGATAACTGCCTGAACGATCATCGACTTGGTCGACTCTAATCGTTGCACGTCGTAACAGCCTCTTCTCTCGCGATACTGCTTGTACGCTCTCTGAATTGACGAGATTTATTAAGGCGACTGGAAGTTACGATTTCTCACGCGACGAAAATATACCGCTCGAAAAAAATCGTGACACTGACGGATGAAAATTGGCTAACTTTGACCGACGATAACTCCTCGAAAAATCATCGTAGGATCATGACTCTTTTCTTAAATTAAAGCTTGAAACCTCTACTTTAAGATAGAAAATCTCTGGATTTTAAGTAATCTCTGGATTTACTGTAATCGTTTAAATGCGAGGTTATGTTTGTCATACTGAGATCTGTGAAGTCCGTCATATTAAAAAAATGTCAAGTTCGACGAAATGCACGGACTTTGTCAAATTTTTTTCGGTCGTGTCGTTTTCAGTCGAACGAAGTTTGATCTTTTCCCTTTAATTTAAAAAAAAAAATGGCAATTTTTAATATGACAAACATGGCCTCATAATTAAAGGGTTACAGTAGTGAGGGTGCATCGAATTTAAAATCCAGAAACAGTAATCAAAATTGTCCAATTGTTATCCAAAATTTTTCTATGCTATAATTTTTCTGAAAATTAGAAAAATTAGGAAGTTTTAGAGAAATGTCTTCTTTTCTCTAGTGTAAGAGATTTAAAATTACTTTTGAAGTATTATTCCTAGGTTATATATTATATAATTGTCTCACAGAGATATGAAATAAAGAACATTACCTGGATAACCGTAGCAGCCTCGTTCGCCTGTTTCATCGTCAAACCAGAATCGTTGTACATCATTTCCATCCAAGCGACAGCTTGAATGGTCTGCGCGGTCTCCACTATACGACTATCCTCCTTCAGCTCTTCTTCAGTTTCCGCTGCGAATATTCACATTATTGAAAACCCTCGATACCAGATTCACGTAAAATTCTCAACAGTGTAGCAGGACTAAGATCTTACGAACGTCAATCTTCTGGTTTCTCCTGATGTAATATCCACGATAGGCGAACTGCGCGCAACATCGTCTCAATTATTCGCTCGTAAAAAAAACAAGAGCAATTCTTACCTTCAAGTGCTTCGCTGCTTTCAAAATTTCCGACTGTGTTGCACCAGCCTTT